GGGTGTTTTAGGAGTATCTTAAATCTTTCTTGGGGGTGTTTTAGTGAGTGTTTTAGATGAGGGTAAGGTTGGCCAAAAGGGGTTGCTCCGTAACGTGAGATAGGCTCGGGTCTCGTGGCTTTGAAGGTGCCGGCAGTAGGTTGACGAGAGGGAGAGCGCGGATGTAGTGGTCGTGGGTGTGTGGAGGCTAGTATGGAGGTGTGGAAGGCTGGCAAAAGGGCGACTGGTTGAGCGAAAGAGGCAAGCAAGAGAGGGGCTGGTCGACAAGAGGGACGAAGTTGTAGCAGCTTGGTCTTTTCCTTTAGGTTGATGGTGAACAATCCCCATGATAAAAAAATGCATAGGGGTTTTATATTGGTAGGGTTTTTTTGGCAAAAACCCACTTTGGTCTTTGATTTTTTTCCATACATTTATTTGGGTTCAATTTATTTTTTATGTTTTAATTTAAGCCTCCTTTTGCCAAAAACTAGGACCTTTTATTTTAATTAGTTCCAATTGTATCCCTCCTCATTTTAATTAAAGGGTTTGAAACTTTGATTTTTTCTTTTATGCCCTCAATTTTTCTTTTAATTGTTTTCAACCTTTTTATTTTTTCGATTTAACCCTTTTTTTTCTAAACTAACTACCCTAATTCTCTTTTTTTCTTTTTTCTCTTTTTCTATTTTTGTTATTATTTTTTTATCTTTTAGTATTTTCATAATAATAAATAAATAAATAAAAAGGAGTAAAAATTAGGTGCTAACAATCTTCTCTCGAACAAGTCTTTGGATTGTGACCTCTTTTATGACATTTAGAACTATAAATCATTTTTCCTTTTCTTCATAAATTCCTTCATCCATTTATTGCTTCCCATTCCCTCTAACCCTTTTATTCTTCCTCTCTTCGACCTTTAGCCTCGGTGGTAGAGGGTTTACGTCCTTTTTCTTCTACAAAAAACTTCCTTCCCATTAAAAACTTGTAAAATAAACTGGTAAGACTTCATAAAAGCTTCCTTCTTGTATCGATGAGATAAATAATCTTCCGGCTTCTTATTCTTATTTTTCAATACATGTATGACATGGACATAAGGAATATCGTTGATATTCTACATCTACAGACTACTCTTTCTATGAGGCACATCAACTAGATATTTATCTTTAAACTAACTGCGTACATAATCGTGAAAATTGAGTGTCTTTGGTAGTGTCATCAAAATACATATTTTTGGACTTTTTTTTGTCCATACCCAATCTGTTTAACCATCATCATCACTTGGTTGGTTCATGACTCCTATCTTTATCTAAATCAAACTCATACAAACCTATAACAATTTCCACTCCTTCGGTATCATTATCCCTAGTTCTTTGGCTATTTGATTGCAGAGCATCAATCGGTCGTACATTAAGGATAACAATAATAGGTTTTTTACTCCTTGACTCGTTTTAACTCTGCAAAGCTATTCATAGCAATAACTAGCTCATCATCATCATTTTTAGTACACCATGATAATTAATTAATTGTACATCATCATCCAACTCCAATACACTATCATAACCATCCTTATCATCTTCACTATTTTCTTAACCAAACTAAATATTTTCTCTTTTTTTCATTGCCAAACCCCAACTCGTTGCCCTCTATATTATCACCATCTTTCCTTATGATGCCATTTGACATAAGTCCTATCTTAATACTTTCAAAAGCATGTCTCACATTATGTTAGGTGTCATGTTGCTCATGTTTCCCAATATAACCATCTACATTATTAAATTATTTTTCCTCACTAATTGCATCTATACTCTTATTTTCATAAAAAAAAAAATACAACATCAATAAGCTCAATACCACTATTGCCCTCACAAGTCCTACCACCAACATCCATATTTGTTCCCATATTTTGTTTCCGGACCACACTATCACCATCATCCTCAAAGTTAATCAATGCATTCCTATCTTTCACTATCTTATTTGTATCCTTCATAAAAAAAACTTCATATTTCCTTTCTCAAAGGAATCATTCAAATAGGGAAACAAAGACTCTTCATCATACACATATATCGATTGTATTTCTAATGTATCATCATTTCTCAAAACCCTATAGTGTATCTTTTTAGGATTAACCCACCCATAACTTCCAATAACTTATTTCAAGGTCGAAATGAGAAAAAATCATGTCTACCAATTTAACTTATAATATCTTTAATTAAGCTATTGATGATCGATTTAAATTTTATACTAACCTTTAACTACATATATCCCTTTAAAATATATGAGTATAGGTGGGTTAAGGGATATCGTATCTTTTTTCACTCTTTAAATAAGTAAGACATAACTTATGGATGATTAAATGGACACAAGTAAAGTATAATCAAACGGTTGTATATTTAGTAGTTTTTTTTGTAATAAAACATGTTTGACTCTTAATATTTCAAGTTTATTTGATTGTTATATAATGAGGAAGACCGTTCATATTATATAATTTAAAACTAAACAAACTTTTGATGAAAAAAATCAAATGGAGTGAAATCTTTGTCAATTAATTCAAATCCTCGATTATAACTTTGTCAATTATTCATCTAACGTGACATGTTATCTTTAACAACCACTAATTACCGATCGATATATGGCATTATGAGTCCCAAATAACGAGTGTTTTCGTCCAACTTAAAAAAAGATTTAAAATTTTTCTTAATGATGAATTAATACTTAGACTTTAAAAAAATTAGAAAAGACAAGTTTACCCCATCCAATTATCCTAAAATACATCATTCTCTCTCCTCACGGTCTTTTTCTAAATGCAAACAACTTTCGCTTCTTCTTTTTCTTCTTTTTTGATTAAAACCCTAAGCTTCCTAAATCTTCTAGTCCCTTACTTCACTTCTTTTTCTTATTCTCCAATTAAAAATCCAAACCCATTCTCTCTTTTAAAAAAAAACTCTAAATCCCTAAAATCTTTAAATCCCCAAATTTATGCATTGATCTATTAAGTTGAACTTCATATTTAATAAATTATAATCACTACATTTATTGTCTTTTTTTTTTCAACAAGCATCAATCTTATCTATAGAATTACATTTTGTTAGACACTAACTTTGATTGGCATGCAATGCTAGATGAGAGCTTGCAAAGATGGGACAACAAGCCCCTAATCCATCTAGAGGAAACAAATACTTAATAAATGTGAGCAATTTAAAAGCATTTGCGGCATCCATCCACAAGCTTTATGTAGACCTAAGCCACATTTTTTAGCCAGGCTTTGGTTGGAAAGACATCGTCCTGGATCCTTTTAGACCCATTCTTCAATCGTAGCTTAACACTTCCATTCAAAACATTAAAAAACTATGATTGTTAATTTTAGCCACCGTTGTTTATTACTAATTAATGCTGCTATTAATTTTAATTAATTAACTAACTATTTTTGTAAAATAACTTGAAATGGTTAGAAAAAAATCAATCAAAAACCCAATTCTTCTTGAAGAATACCTCCCACTTCTTCCTCGCGAATGCCTCTTTCTCCGACCACTTCCAATTGCAAGAACAACAATTTCTTTCGTCAATGATAGAAGATGATGAAAAAATAGGGATTTTTGATAGATTTTGATTTGGAGATTAAGACTATCTTTTGATAGAGAAGAAGGAGAGAAAGAGAAGTTATGAGAGATAACGATAGGTGTATATAGATGTGGTGGATTTGAGATAGTGAGATAGGGAAAATTTAATCTTTTCTATTTATATTTTAATTCTAACTATTATTTTATTATAAAAAAATTTTAAAATTTTATTTCAAATGCGAGTCACTATGAATTGGGCCCACTTTGTCAAGTGTTGATCGGTGATTGGTGACAATTATTAGTAACGTGTTATGTGAGATTAATGGTTGATGGAGTTATAATAGAAGGTTTGAAACAACAAATCTCAAAGAGTGAAAGATCTTAATAAAAAAATAAATGAAGGGTCTCAATAAAAAAATTCGAATAGTACAAGATTTGAATGTGTCGGCAAACCCAATTTTTAAATAGTTTTTATATTAATTGTTATTTTTTTTTATACAACCTTATGGAAAGTTTTTATATATTAAATCTCAAGTTATTTTGAAAAGTTTTAGAGATTTATTTTTTTTTCTAGAGTTTCTGATATTTTTCTTGATTATGGTGCTGTAGGGTTATATTAAGTTTCAAGCTTTCTAACAAGTTTTATGCATTTTTGTAAAAAACTATGAGATATTTATCTTGATTTTGATATTGTCACCTAGAATAAGTAAGTGGTGTTTTTGTTGATATCAAATTAAAATTTGATTAAAAATCAAATTAATTATACATATTATTATTTAACAATAAAGATAATTCTATTAATTAGTTGCATATTTGAAATCTACTTACTTACTAAAAACCTAAAGAAATACCCATACACTCTCTTTTTCTATTTTTTTAATCTAATAATTCGTAGATATTTAATTTTAATTAAAACTAGTATGATTTTTTTGTTTAGTTTTTTATTACAAGAAGTGCTAATTTATTGTGGCGTTGAATTGAATATATAATGTCTTTAATAAATAAAAAATTATTTTTTTTAATAAACTACGTCATCTTGGTATTTAAAAGGATAAATTTATATCCACACTTTGTGTAAAAACTTCAAACATTTTAAACCATAGGGGGTGTCGATTCTGAAACAAACAAAATTAGGAAGACCCCCAGGCCATTACTTCAAAACCGGTATCAAGTCCGCGCCCAATTGGACACCTCTCTTAAAATCCTCAGCGTCCAATTCTCCACATCATCACCGTTAAAGTCCGGGAAGCATCCTAACTTACACTATACCTCTCCATAGTGTAGCTGCCCCTATGCAGTGGTGCTTTCGTAATTCTGTGCCTTAATTTACACAGCATTTCTCTCTCTCGCATATTAACTCGCACCAGACTTGCTTATACAAAACCAAACCCCTCTCTCCTTTTGTTTCTCTTTCTCTAATAGAATTCAGAACCCGATCACCTGGATCTCTAGCTCTCGCGATCTGCAAAAATGGTGAGTTCGTGATCTATTGCCGTTTTTCTATTCACATCTACTTGTATTGTAGTTTTATAGCCTTCACTTTCGAGTTCGAGTACGGGTTAGATCTGGTTGAAATCGGCTTTGATTTGTTACTGTGTTATAATTACGCATCCAGTTGTATAAAATCTTATCGTCTAATCACACAATTCAATCATTTTCTCTGTTGATTTAATCAAATATGTGACATTGGGATCAGTTGCGCTCTGTTTGGTTGCTAGGAATCGGAGGTTCTTGATGTCCGCTTTGATTTGTTTGTGACCAAACGGAGTGTTTAGTTCTTGAGTTTTGCTGAGATCTAATGTTCATTACCGGTGGAATTTGAATTTTTGGATATTTGTGTAATGTGAGTTTTGGAGGTGTGTTTGGTTGCCCAGAAAGTGAAGGAATATCTGGAAATAGTTTTGATTTTGATTTCTTGTGTTTTGATATTCTGAATTTTTTTCTTATTTCATTGTCCACAAAATCGATTAATGTGGATTTTGTTTTTCTGGATTAATTTGAGATCTGTTATATAATTTCGGGACTGAATTTTTTTTTTTTTTTTTTTTTTTTTGTGTTAACAGCCTCTCAGACTCGAAATCAAGGTATTCTTATATATTTGCAGCTTCAATTTCACAAGTCTTTTTTTTTAATGACTTTTAGTGATATTCGTGTTTTAATATCTGGATCAGCGGAAACTTGCTCAGAGATCAGAGAGAGTTAAGTCAGTTGATCTACATCCAACTGAACCATGGTAAATCATGTTCTTCTTTTTGCCTTTTTTCTTTAACTTAATTTGGTAGTTATTTGGGTGCAGAGAGAAGTAAGTTGTAGATATGCTAGTATTTTAACTTGATGTATTTTATAGTTGGGGAAGATGTTCAGTATTAACATGTGATTTGGGTTTCTACAGGATTCTAGTGAGTTTGTATTCAGGGACTGTGTGTATCTGGAACTACCAGTCACAGGTATGGGAATGTAACCATGCTAGCTTTGCATCATGATTCTGGTTTATTTACATTTGGAATTCTCAGCATTAACAATAAAATGTTTGAAGTAGGGTGATTGTTGTTGATGGTCATGATAATTTTTTAAAAATTATCATTATGTCTTAGCAGTGAAGCAACATGACTAGTAACTTTAGTTAAATTTGAGTACGCATGGGGTCCCAAGATGAATTTTTCTTATGAGAGTGCTGATAATTTTCATTCATCTTCTGTAATTGTTTTAGAGGATAAATTACAAAGAAAGCACAATCATAGTTTTTCATGTGAGTTGCTTTCTGTTATGAGTTAGGGCATGAGAGGTGATGTGTTTATGAAAAAAATGAACAATTTACATGTAATTGGACTGTACCTTGTAATACTTTCTGTTAACTTGTGAAGCTGGTTATTGGATTTGTTTTAATCAGCTGGAAACAAATGGTAAAGTACTAGAGTATTAGGGGTAGGAAAATCTGCAATATGGCATAAGTTGTTTGCCTCCTCCGCAAATTGGATCATTGACCGTGAACTTTGGAAGCAAACACAACATCACACCATATCAATAGGGAGTCTTACAATTTATTTTTCCATTTCTGTATTTGAGAACTAAACTTTGCTGCTGACTATCTTGTGAGAAGCTCATCTTGAAATGCATTGTTGTTTTTGAGCTGTAAATTTTCTTATAATTGATTGTTTTCTTAGAGATTTTTCTTTTTTCTCTTCTAACTTGAATCTCCTTGATCTCTTCCAGACCATGGCAAAATCTTTTGAGGTCACTGAGTTACCAGGTACATAAAATTTTTCACTTTTTTTTATCAGGACATCGTAAAAATATCGAGTACAGCATCCCTTTCTTTGAATATGCTGTGAAATATGTTTTTTTCTTTTTATAACTATAATATCTTCTGAAATTTACGTTATGTTTCTGCAGTTAGGTCAGCCAAGTTTATAGCACGGAAGCAGTGGGTTGTTGCTGGAGCTGATGACATGTATATTCGTGTGTACAACTACAACACAATGGATAAGGTTAAAGTTTTTGAGGCTCATACAGATTACATTAGATGTGTGGCTGTCCATCCTACCCTTCCGTATGTGTTGTCATCATCTGATGACATGCTTATAAAACTTTGGGATTGGGAGAAGGGTTGGGCTTGTACTCAAATATTTGAGGGACATTCCCATTATGTGATGCAAGTTACTTTTAATCCAAAAGATACCAACACTTTTGCAAGCGCATCCCTTGATCGCACCATAAAGGTATAAAGGGTTTTATCTGCTGCTTACTTTTGTTAAATGCATTATGTGCTTCTCTTGGCTCAATTAAGTTTGATATTTCTTTGTTTTAGATTTGGAATCTTGGCTCTCCGGACCCAAATTTCACTCTGGATGCCCACCAGAAAGGAGTAAATTGTGTTGATTACTTTACCGGTGGAGATAAACCTTATCTAATAACTGGTTCTGATGATCACACTGCGAAGGTCTGTCCATATTTTTATTTATTTATTTATTTATTTTTTTTGTCAGGCTCAATTAACATATTTATCTTGATTTGGAATCTCAATGGATCATTTTTTCGAGCAGGTATGGGACTATCAAACTAAAAGTTGTGTCCAGACTTTAGAAGACCACACACACAATGTCTCTGCTGTATGTTTCCATCCCGAACTTCCAATAATAATTACAGGTTCTGAGGATGGGACTGTTCGTATATGGCATTCAACAACTTACAGGTAAATCTTTTTTCTGTATAAATGTAATTTTGGTATGCCTGTGATAGCTTTTATGTGCACTTAATTATCTGTCATACATGGTAACTGGAATGTATATGCATTCCAATTCAAGTAGCACATCTCTTTGAGAAGGTTTTTCAGCACCTTTGCCAGAACATTTGGAGACCGAACTTCTTGCCTGTATATTAGTTTCCTTTTTAATTTTTATATGTTTCTTGATCTGAAACTATGGATTGGTTTGTTCAAGCATTATGGGCTTCCTAGAATTTCATACACCTGAAAAATATTTTTCTGCTCTGGTCAAGTAGCTTCTGGATTTTAATTTTACTGGTGTGTGAAACTGTCGTGAACATCTGCATATTTGCAGTCATAATTTTATTGGCATGTGAAATTTCTATTGGTGAATGCACAGCCCAGTAGATTCTGAATTAGGCTGATGCTTTGAGAAGTTAAATTCATTGGGGTTAGAATTGATGCAAAATTTTGAAAGTTTAAGGTAAATAGTTGCATTCTGTTTCTCTTTAGCTTTTCTTCAGTGTAAACCTGTAATATTGCATACATATTGAAATTATCTGAATTGTTGTAATTTAAAAGTATCGATTTCTGTTTGTTTTTATGCTACAGACTTTAAGACATGTTTCATTGCTTACAGGCTTGAAAACACCTTGAATTATGGCCTAGAAAGAGTTTGGGCAGTTGGATACATGAAAAGTTCACGCCGGTATGTGTCTGGGTTTGTTTGTTGATAATCAACCCTTCCATCATTTGGGGAGTAGTTGAACATTTTTTGAAAATGAGTTTCTGTTGATGATGAGTAAAAGCATAATGGTTATCAATTTCTTTGTGCAGTATTGTGATTGGGTATGATGAAGGAACCATTATGGTCAAGATAGGTCGAGAAGAACCGGTGGCTAGCATGGACAATAGTGGAAAGATTATATGGGCCAAGCACAATGAAATTCAAACTGTGAACATTAAGAGTGTGGGGGCAGATTTTGAGGTTTGGATTCAATTAGACCTCTTCATAATTGCTACTTGACATAAAATCTTGAAGCGGAAGGTTCTTTTGGTTGGCATAACATCAGCCTTTTGTTATCTATGCTTTAGGTCACTGATGGTGAAAGATTGCCTTTGGCTGTTAAGGAGTTGGGAACATGTGATCTTTACCCCCAAGTGAGTTGGCAACTTTTTTGTCGCATTCCATGATTTTTTTTTGTTTCTGTTTATGCCTTGCCTGCACCTTAGGTTTCTTCGTACATAAACTTCTTTATGCTTCTCAGTGAGGCTAATGTGACTTATTTTAGACTTTTTTTTTAACATCTGTTATAAAATTTTCAATTACTGCATGTCAATAGTGTAATAAAATTCAACTGATGCAGCCACCCAGAGCAGGCTACCATTTTTTCCTGGTAGGATGAAACGTCTGCAAAATGTCTCCTAAATTCAATGTAGATGCAGGATAGATGAATTACTATTGTTTTATTTTTTTGTCCCTTGCATTCTTTTTTTTTTTTTTTAACCCTTGTAACATGCATATACATGGTATTATGACTAGTTTTTCAAGGTGGAAAAGAAGCTTGTAACATGCATAGACATAGCATTAACATGTTGAGAGGAGGCTAAGAAATATAATCTTTCTTGGAAAATACATGTGTGACTTTATGTTTCTTCCGCACTTATTTTGCAGAGCTTAAAGCACAATCCCAATGGGAGGTTTGTTGTTGTATGTGGAGATGGTGAATACATCATCTATACTGCTCTAGCATGGAGAAACAGATCATTTGGTTCTGCTCTTGAATTTGTTTGGTCTTCGGATGGTGAATATGCTGTTAGAGAAAGCACATCAAAGATTAAGATTTTCAGTAAAAATTTCCAGGTTTGTACTCTTTCTTAGCTTATTTTATCTTTTCTATCAGATTATTCTTTTGTTCTGGAGAAGTGGAATTTTTTTCACAAGCTGACTGGTGTAGAGAAAAGAAATGAAATTTGCCTAGCTGCTTTGAGGAAAATTGTTTAACATCTATCTCAGGGCCACTAGTACTGCTCACCCGGTTGTAATTTGTCTAATCATGCTTTGGCTTATAATTCTTCGGGGCTAGCAGAATTGTTTTTTATTCTCATAATTCATCAATCAAGCTGTTATATAAACATCTTTACTATCATGTGTGAAATATGAAGTCAAATGATGGTGAATTATTTCAGGAAAAGAGGAGCGTTCGGCCAACCTTTTCAGCTGAGCATATTCATGGAGGAACCCTGTTGGCTATGTGCTCAAATGATTTCATTTGTTTTTATGACTGGGCTGAGTGCAGGTTGATTAGGAGAATTGATGTTACTGTGAAAGTAAGCCCAAATTTTCCTCCAATATTATGAATTTGTTTAATACCATGTTCCTTGTATAGTAAATATTAATACTTGATCTTGAATATATCAGCATCTTTATTGGGCTGATAGTGGAGATTTGGTGGCTATTGCAAGTGATACGTCTTTCTACATCCTCAAATACAATGTAAGGCTCCTTGTTAGATTATCCTCTGTGATTTCTTGATTTGTTTGTAAAATACTTGCAGTCTTCATTATCATGCATTCATGAATTATAAGAATGTTTGTTTAATGTTTCAGCGTGAGATAGTTTCGTCTTATTTAGATAGTGGAAAACCTGTGGATGAACAAGGTGTTGAGGATGCGTTCGAGCTTCTCCACGAAACCAATGAACGTGTCAGAACTGGCTTATGGGTTGGGGATTGTTTCATTTACAACAACTCCTCCTGGAGGCTTAACTATTGTGTTGGAGGCGAGGTACTTTGCTTCCTTGTGCTTGCCACAGGAATTTCCTAAATCCATAAACAATTCAGTTGTTTAGATTTTATGGTGTTGTGTTGATAGCTAACCCAATTGTTTTAGGTAACCACTATGTATCATTTGGACCGTCCCATGTACTTGCTCGGGTACCTTGCTAGTCAAAGTCGGGTATATTTGATAGACAAAGAATTCAAGTAGGTGGTTATTCTCTCATCTGTTTTTGGAAGTTACATCAATTTTATTTTTTTTTAACCTTTCTTTGCTGTTTTCTCCTCTCTCTGTCTCATGCAGTGTCATGGGGTACACTTTACTTCTTAGCTTAATTGAGTACAAGACGCTGGTGATGCGGGGAGATCTGGAGAGGGCCAGTGAAGTTTTACCTTCAATTCCTAAAGAACATCATAATAGGTAAACATCACATTTGCTAGTTCTCAGATTTAGGCAAATGGATATTTACATTTGTCCTCTGGAAAATGAGTGATTTTACAATTGGCTACTGGGAAGTACTGTGTATGTTTGGGTGTTCAGCATCATCATTGCTACATGCTTGTCAAATTATTACAAAATAGAATTAGTAGCGTGTTTTTAGTATTAGATTCTCTTTAATTTCTTCATTTTATGATAATCTATATCATGTTCTTATTTTTTGTTGGCTATTTTGATTTCAAGATTCCCTACCCACTGCTGGAGAAAGATTAATGTCAAATGTTTTTATTTTTTCGTTGTCTATTTTTTTTTTTTTTTTTTAAACTAAAAAAACATTTCTCTGTTGGCATGCCTTGCGGACAAAACTTTTTTTATTAGTATAGCTGTATCCACATCTTGTGGTGGCATTTTGAATGTTCTTGTGATTTATAATTCAAGAGAGATTAATATGTGAATACAGTTGCTGTTCCCTTTCCCTTTGTAAATGCTTCATAGAACTTCATAATTCTGTCATATGCTTTACTTCTTGTTATTTAAACTATAAGTTTAGCTGTCGAAATGCTTATTTTCTGATGGGCAATTAACTTTGATTGTTAGTGTGGCTCGTTTCTTGGAATCACGAGGTATGATAGAGGATGCTCTGGAAGTAGCTACTGACCCTGATTACAGATTTGAGCTAGCTATACAGCTTGGTAGATTGGAGGTTGCGAAGGTTAGACCAATTGATGCTATTTTTGGTTAGGCTATACAATTAGTCATGGAAGCTTGTATGTATATATATAATCTTTTCTTCTTCTTTTTTTTTTTTTTTGTCATCTCCTTTGGATGAAATGACAACTTTGTGTCTTCTCTGAAAATGCATGTGTTTCTTTTTCAGGAAATTGCCAGTGAAGTGCAGAGTGAGTCGAAGTGGAAACAGTTGGGAGAATTAGCCATGTCCAATGGAAAGGTATTATGTTACTTCAGCAGACATTTAATTGCCAGATATAATTATGGCCTTCACTACATTAAACTAAAATTCTACATGCCATCTTATGCACCCTGGATACCTCATATGATGAATTAGAAAACAGAATGCAGAATTATTCTGCATTACAGCAAACCAGTGTTTTTGTTGTATTTTAGATCTAGTTCATACCTATATGAAATATGAGTTTTGCTTTTGGTGCATATATTGGCTGCCTGTTACATTTCAGGTAGCCTTCTGGCTACAGTTTTGCTCTTCTTTTTCTCTTAGTTTGAGTTATGCTACTGCAGTTGGAAATGGCTGAGGAATGTATGAGGCATGCAGCAGACTTGAGTGGTTTGCTGTTACTCTATTCTTCCTTAGGAGATGCTGAAGGGATATCAAAGCTCGGATCCTTGGCAAAAGAACAGGGGAAGATCAATGTTGCATTCCTTTGTTTGTTCATGTTGGGCAAAGTTGAAGACTGCCTCCAGCTGTTGGTGGAAAGGTAATTTTCTTTTGACTACTTAAGATGAGAACAGAGGTATTTTCAAATTCAGATACTGATGCATTATTCTGGCAGCAATCGGATACCTGAAGCTGCTTTGATGGCACGATCTTATCTTCCTAGCAAGGTTTCAGAGATTGTTGCAATTTGGAGGAAAGACCTGAACAAGGTATCTTGTCATTCTTGTGTTTCAGTTTCACTTAGAATCTCTAGGGTCTCTGGCTCTTCTGTATGATCCTCATGAAAAATATTCAAGCAAATTAGATTCAGTTCAAAAGAGAGAACTATTCAACTTCAAGCAACATTATACTGTAATTCTTGTCCTGAGATAAATTGTGATAAGCTAATTCATTTTATTTCTTTTTTCCTGAGTAATAATTTCTTGAGTCCACCTCACTAGACTGTTATACAAAAATAAATAAATAAATAAAATAATTTCTATTAATCTATTATTACTGTATATACTCGTTATTCTATTTAAAATTTCTACAGTCATTAATTTTTTCTTAAATAAAAGTAAATGCCCCTAGATAATCTTTGACACATACATTTCATAAGTCTTATAGTCCTACTTTGTGTTGCTTTATAGGTTAATCCAAAAGCTGCAGAATCTCTGGCTGATCCTGAAGAATATCCAAATTTGTTTGATGATTGGCAAGTTGCTTTATCTGTTGAATCTAGAGCTGCAGAGACAAGGTACTTTTGAAGGGCACATGCGCACACAGACCACAAATTTGCATTATGGCTTTTTGAATGGAATGTTTCTTCTTAACTAGTTGCAATGCATAACTGATTAGTTTATCTGAACAAGAATCTCTCTTTCAAAATTAATTTCTCAGGATCTCGCTTGTAGTTGAGAATTTGGGATATCTTTGCTCAATATGTGAACCAATATCCCAAGACTTACAATGGAGCATATAATTTTAATGTAAATTTTTGAATTTTCTATTAAATAGCTTATTGATGGCTCTGTTATTGCTTCTGTAGGGGTGTGTATCCTCTGGCAGAGGACTACCAAAACCATGCTGATAAACCTAACATCACCCTTGTGGAGGCTTTCAGAAACATGCAAATAGAAGAGGAGGAACCTCTCGAAAATGGGGACTTTGATCATGAGGTAGTTTGTCAAATGTGTTTTGAATCGCTTTTGCATTTTCAGCTGCCTTTCTCATTCCTTCTATGCAAATGTTAGATAAATTATTGTAGGTACCTGGTTCATCACCTTAGATCATGGACCAAACCAACAGAATTTTTACACATCACTAAATTTGGCCAAATTGTCTTTTTAGTAAATCACATTTAGAATGTGAATCCTCACACATTTAATAGGACATTCATAATTATGGGAAGAAATAATTAACTATGCATCTATCACAAAATGATGTGGACAAATTTAGTGTTGTGTAAAATTTTGTTGGTTTGGTCCACAATCTTATTAGGTGGTGGACATAGTCTAGTAATTTCTAGAAATGTTATAGGGATATGTATTATGAGATGAGCATTTGCAATTTCCTCTGCTGATAAATCTTCTAAATGGTCAATGCCATGCATTTAATTTAGCCCACTTCGAGCTCACAAAAGCTCACTTTTAAGGAGTTCAATGCTCAAGTAGTCTATATAATTCTGATTTTCCTTAAAATTAGGGGATGCTCTTGCGTTAAAGCATCATTAACTATTCTGGTATTCTGTTTTGTGATTTTTTTTTTCGGACTTGTATTTACTACTATTTATCACAGACCGAAGAACTGAATGGAGACGAACTGAATGCTGAGGAACAGAATGGTGAAGAAGGGAGCCAAGAGGAAGCAGTTGTGGTGGATGCAGATTCCACAGATGGTGCTGTACTCGTTAATGGAAACGAGCCTGAGGAAGAGTGGGGTACGAATAATGAAGGAACCCCGTCAGCCTAAAAGCAAATTGGTTGGGGCAGTGTGAAAATCCAAATTTTGTCTCTGGTGATTAATTGATTCTAAAGTGACATCTCTAACTACCGATTTCACATGTTATTTTCTCTACTACTACCACAACCTTTGGGAATTGTTCATTTTTTATGTGCTACGCTAGCACTATTTCTGATTGGCTCATCAATTGCTGACACAAAGTTTAGGTTTAGTCAGGCTCAGGTTGTTCTAGTTTTCTAACTGATGACCATGTCTTGGTCGTACAAGGTCTAGCTATTATTACTCTTTATATATATATATATATCGTTTTTAAAAAACAAGCATGCATCTATTTGAGGTTCAGTCCATTTCATCGGACTTCTGCTTACGTTGATTTACAACTTTAATACATCTCTAACAGTGTCAGAACTTCAAACAATTGCTGTTAGATTTTGAATTTATATAGCTGTCCATTTCTGGTAAATTTTCATGCGCTGTTAGTTCTATTTTCGTTGCAATACATGTTTGCATTTTAGCATCTTCTCTATACTTATGTAAAATTTCAAATTTATTTTGTTGATGGTTTGAACATGAGTTTTTTTTTTTTTTTGGTGCCATTTGCAATTTGAGTGGGTGGTGGGTATATGATATCTTGGTTCTTACTCATTTACCACTTTTGTTTGCAGTGCTTACACCACAACACTAGGTCTTCTTTCAAGATCGGTCCAATTGTATTAATCCCGTAAGGTGAGCAAAGCATGCTTTAGATATAATGGATAGGTTTGAATAGAGAGATGAACAAGTCTGAACAAGTTAGCGGTGAATGCAACCACTGTGGTTTGGCAGAAAATATTGAACTCCACAAGAAGTTGGATCTAGCAGAAAGTTCGACTCACTACAATACATGATTGGAATTTTGTGTACCTTTAGGTTATGGCCTTTAACGAATACGTTTTGGATAGGGTACTTTAGCATCATATATGTTGATTTTATTGTATTATTCTTTTCTTTTTGTTTGATTTGCCATGTGCACTTCAATTTGGGCTCACTCATGGCTGAGATTGATGATGATCTTTTACAGAACATTTCAAATGTGGATGATTTTTTTTCTTGCCTTGGAAGTATGGTAGATATTTGGTACATAGTTAAAGGATGAAGAATACAGTAAATTTACCTTTGGTACATGCTTAAATAACAAAAAACTTTAGTTAAAAAAAAAAAAAAATCGTAGTCTCTATTTTTCAATGATAGTAAATTTACTTCAAATGGTGGTTCCTCCCCATTTATTGTTTATTTTTTTGGGTGAACTTAGGTTTCTTGCTGGATGCTAGAAAGAGGTTATTATAGGGATCGGTTGTCTCTTCCCGGGTGGTGTGGCCCTTTAGCGCATCGAGTTTTGTCATGGAGCGTATTGTATAAAGGATCCCCCAAATTTCTATTGCAATTGTTGATGTTCTAGCATAGCCTTTGAGGCCTTCATATTCCAGAAGTTTCTTGCCTGTTGTGATCGTAGAAAGTTCAATTAGAGATTGCACCAATCTAGCTCTTTTGCCTCTCAAATTAGTTATTTGAAACCCCTTGGTATTCTTTTTTTGTGTTTTGGGATTTCTATCACTTGTGTAATTCGCCATGTATACAAACCTAAAGAAATATGATTTTTTTTCCCAACTGGTTGTCTTGTTTGCGCTCCATTCCTGGTAAGTGTCGTTGGCGCTCTATTAGTGATGCTAGGATTTTCCATGTCGAGATTCTTACTTCTGATTCATGGATGTGGAAAGCGAAGATAAATCCTACATTTTGTCGATTGTGTGTAAAATGCAATGCTGCGACTTGGCGTAAAACTTGCTTAAGATCCCTTGAATCTTATTTGACGCTGGTGGAATGTGCTGTCATGCGTCCTTCCCAACCTTCCTCCATAATAAAAGGTACCTTCGCCGGATTGGGACAAAGGATAAATAGAACTTGTGGGTCGGAGAGCTTGGGTTTCTAGATAGTTGGTCGACAGACGAAGAGAGCTACTGTTGTCTGAATTTACTATATAGCTGGTTATGGAAGTCGTGAGGTCGTGGACTCTGCCGCCCAATCGACCCTTGAAACATTTTGCAAGCTGTCAAATGTGAAACATTTTGCAAGCTGTCAAATGTCGGAATGGTTTATCTTTATTGAAATTTTGTTTTGGGGTTTGTTTTCATTGTACAATTTCTTCTTTGAATGTTAATTGAAAATCAAATATTTATGAGAGCTTAGAAACTTGGTTCATTTTTATCATTCATCTTTATCGCGACTCTGTTTTCTGAAAATACCTCCGAGTTGAACGTGTTCTAGACAAGTTTGTTTTTTTATAGGCATTTTTTAAAAAAACAAAATAGTCAGATGTAAATCACATGATTTTTTTAAAAATATATTCTTTTTTAAATATCAAGCATGCATCTATTTGAGGTTCAATCCATTTCCTTTGACTTCTGCTTACATTGATTTACAACTTTAATGCATCTGTAGCAGTGTCAGAACTTCAAACCATTGCTGTTTTTGAATTTATATAGCTATCCACTTCTGGTTTCATGTGGTTAGTTCTATTTTCGTTACAATGAATGCTTGCATTTTAGCATCTTCTCTTTACTTCGCGAAATTTCAAATTTATTTTGTTGATGGTTTGAACAGGAGTTGTTTTTCTTTTTGTGGTGTCATTTGCAATTCGAGTGGGTGGGTATATGATGTCTTGGTCCTTACTCTTTTACCCCTTTTGTTTGTCTTCTTTCAAGACAAACGGTCCAATTGTATTAATCCTGTAAGGTGAGCAAAGCATGCTTTAAATATAAGGTTTGAACAGAGAGATGAACAAGTCTGAACTAGGTCTTGGTGAATGCAACCGCTGTGTTGTTTGGTGGAAAATATTGAAGAAACTCCGCAAGAAGTGGGTTCTAGCAGAAAGTTCGACTCACTAAAATACATGATTGGAATTTTTTACACATTTTAGATATACTTGCCCCTGAATTATGGTAATGTTTCAGTAATTTTAGATTCTATTCGATATTTATTTCCATTTTTTATTCTTTTATGTCATGGTATTGGCTATGGATATTTTATGGTGGAATTAATTGTATAATTTTCCTTTGGTTTCATTCTATATGGGATTGACGAGTCTTCTAGATTTTAAATACCATCTACGGTCCCTCGTAAAATTTTGTTTTTTATTGCAATGAATGATAACATCCATTGATGATTTCGGTAATTTTAATTAGGAATCATTCTTCGAGCCTACGAGTCTCCTAAGCGACAATGATCTCGTTAACTTTTATCTGAAACAAACAAAAAAATAAATGAGTAATAACATGTGTGGGTTAGTTTTTGTTTTTAGGTTTTTTTCTTTTCCCAGCGATACAAGCCTTTAATTTAATGTGCCGTTAGCTTGTTAAGTTGTTTTTGATACATTGATCAATCACAACTTAATTGGATTTGATGCTAAATGGATGAATTGAATTTGATGCTAAATAGATGCGACTTCGTTTTTAAAACTTCGACGAAAATTTAATACGATTTCATAATAGATAATAAAACACTATATGTCCGGATGTCTATATAAGAAATGTAGAGTTAATTCCCTCAAATTAAGTCTAAATTCTTGATAACTCAGACTTATCAATAAGTTTGAAAATAAACTTAAAAAAATTTTGGTGAACAATGTTGTTAGGAAATAATTTAGAATTAAATTGAATTTGGTAATTTTTCTTGTAAGAGGATGTTTTTGGATGACTTTATCTTTTCATTCGTCATTGTTAGTATTTGTATTTTTTTTTTTTAATACTAGATGGTGATTCTAAATTTTTTTTTTCTTATTCATTAGAAGTACTATATGTCGTATAACAACACACGCACGCACACATATATACACACACACTCTTGTATGAAGACGCATGTGAATAATCTAATTAATGCACGCACGCATGCACACACGCATACACACATATATATACACACACACTCTTGTATGAAGACGCATGTGAATAATCTAATTAATATTTTTATAGTTTACATAATATTTAATTACTTGCTTTAAGTGTAAGACCTCGCGACTTAAGGACACGAAGATTAGTTTAAAATAATAAAAAAGATGTTCTCAAACCTCCTCCGTCTCCTCCTTAAAGGAGACTTAATTTTTTCTACTCTATTAGTGAATTGAATGATTTTTAACTTTTATTGAAATTTAAAAATTAGATGATGTTTCTCGCTCACAAAAAACCAAGGAATCAATCATGTTTTATATTGAAAATAAATTTCCTATCAAGACTAGAATAATATTAAAGATATTCCTTCCATAAAGTTTTGGTGGGAGTTTAATTTAAATGATCTAAGATAATGGATGATGCTTTTTAAATCAAAGATTAGGGGGAAAAAAAGACTTAGAAGAGCTTGTAGTCTATTTGCTTTTTTATGGTTTTGGATTATTTTTATTGGAAATACTTAGTTTAATCTTCTAAAGTGGAGAGAGGGAATATGCACTAAATCTATGTTTTCATTTTAATCCACAGCTTTGTTTTAGAAAGTTGCAGAATAAAATCCTAGACCTTACTTTAAATTTTAAAACTAAGATTCAAGACAATAACACTGGATAAGCCTAAGCCCATGAGTCCAATAACAAAGATTAGGCTCTCCATGCATGGAAACCTCAATGATATTAGCACAAGTTCAGGCCGCTAATACTTAATAGCTGCGCCAATACCCTCTTATTAATATAATAGATTAATTTGTCAATCTGTCATTTAAAAAAAATAATACTTCTAATTTATCTTTATATTTTTGGTTTATTTCTAATCTATTCTTTTTGGTCAAAATTTTCGATCATTTTTTAAAAATTAATCTTTATATTAATAAATGTAGATCACTTATGTCAAATAATAAAAATAATTCTATCGGATCACATTCTATGTATAAATCACATGTTTAATTTGAAGCTGATTAATAGAAAATTTTAACTAAAAAAATATATTAGAAATCAACTCAAAATATAAGGACATATTAGATGTGTTTTTTGAAAAAAAAAATTGAAAAATTAGCATATTATTTAAGCACATGTGAGGATATTAGCCTTTATTATTTTATAGATTTGACAAAAAAAAAAAAAATCATATAATTTTGTAAGAAACTCCAGATTTTGAGAAAATTCTGAAATGAAACTATAAAGGCCCAATAATTGGCCCAGTATACACGAGCCATCATTCGGCTACAAAATCACACAAATTCCAAAAAAGGCAACCAAAGGGGAGGAAAAAAAAAGGAATAATAAAAATAAAAATAGAAAGGGCACTTTCGACTTTCGAGCAAGCTTCCTTTTAAATTACCCCCAGACTCTTCCGTAATCCATACCGAGCCCCTCAGTCCCTCCTCAAAAATAATATTAGTAAAAACATCAGAAACCCATTTCCTCTTTGGATCTCCTTCGCTAGGGTTTTGCTCCAGCTCTAGCTTCAGTTTCATCTTCATCTTTTGTAAGTCTCATATTCCACTTTTGCTTCTACGTGCCGAATCTACCTATTTTTTTCTCAATGAGTTCTTTTTGGTTTTCATTTTCAACCTTTTCTTTTTCTTGCTAATGCTTCGAGTCTTAGGGTGAGGTGCATGTATCCTCTACTCTTGTTAGACCCTTGAAAGATTTGGTCATTTTTTATCGATGACCCAGTTCACAAACTGCAGATTTAGCTCAGATTACTAGGTTTATTACTTCTCACCTTCTGTTTGGTTAGTGGGGAAATTGAAAGAAAGTGAAGAGAATTGAGAAGTTTCAGTTTAGGGTTTTATTTGGATCAGAAATGGAGTCCGAGATTTTAATCAAAATGCTTTGCTTTAGCTTTTTTTTTTCCTTAATTTATTTCAGTTAATTAGTGGGAACGTGGGTGTTTTTCTATCTAATGGAGCTGAGCTGTAGCCTGTTTTCTTTGAACTGCGATTTTTTTTTCCTCTAGGTTTTGCAAGCAGGTTTTTTTTTTACTTGCACTATATTTCTTTTATCTTGTATTTAGTTGCTTGTGGTCATCTTTAAAAAGCCAATTGTATGCTGTCTGTTTTGTATGGTTTAACTCCCTCTCTTTTAACGTTGAGACTGTTTCTTTGAAATTGGTTACTTTTTTTGTCACTGCATATGCTTGATATTTTCTGTGTTTTGCAGCAATCTTAACGAACTAGTCTAGAAATGTTGGATAGTATAAGTTTGATATGTAGTTGTTATAATTACGAGGGAAGAGGGAATGAGGATCATTCATTGTGTGTGAAGGAGTAACCTTCTGATTTATTACACTTCTAATTGAGATGAAGATAAAAAAAGTCATAAGTTATCACGATTTAATGACAATTCCATCTAGTTATGTTTGTTTCTGTTCTTAATTATAAATTTAGGTGATTCCTGCTTTCATTTTTTCACTTGCTGATCTTCGACACGGTAAAATGTAACTTTGGCCTGGTTAATATTGTTTTAAGAGCCTGACATTTTATGTGCTTGGTTCTTTATTTTGGGATAGAAATATCATCCAGACTCTGTTGCATAAATTAGAGTAAGAGCAGTGCTCTGTTGTGTCATAGGTTGTTTGTGAGTGCATGATTTAAATTTTTAACCCTTGATTACCTTCCTTTAACGATATACTATGTGGTATCCACAAATCTTTTAGCGTGTTTAAGTAATGAAGTCTTAGAAAACGTGAGTGCAGAAAATTTTGCAAGTTTATTGTTCTATTGTGTATTTTGATTATCAGTCCGCTCCTCAAGTTAGAAACTATTTGTGCTTATATGTTTAAATTGAAAAAGTGAACTTTATGGACTTCATCTAAGAGATGCATGTTTGACATTTCTTACTAAAATGGAATGTCTGAGGGGGCAAATTTTAAGACATTTATCACTTGTGTACCTCCAACCCCAATCCAACTAAAAAACTTTTTTATGAGTGTGCTTTGGTATTTAATTGTCCTATTGTGAGAAAGATAAGATCTGTTGATATGCAGGTTTCTTCTTGACCCTGTCTCGCGGGGATAACCGTTTGTAAGATAAAGGTTTTTGGCCTTGTTTGACAATGGGGGATGCAGAAAATTCTCTTCCTCCTTCAAAGAAGAGGGCCGCTGGAAGGGAGATATCCAGAGATAACCCTGGTCTTGATGATGATGACTCTATCGAGCAAGAAACTGGAACTTTCAAGAAAGCCAGTGATGAGGTACTGGCAGGCAGAAGAATTGTGAAAGTTCGTCGCAATCAAACTGCATCAACTCCATCATCCAATCCATTTGCTGGCATTCGCTTGGTGCCTAACACTGAGCCAATTGCAGCCCCTGTTTTAGTCACAACTGAAGTGATGAGTGCTAGGGAGCAAGCTTCAGAAGAAGGGAAGAGTGATGTTTGTGAGGATGATAAAAAGGGTAAAGGTGAGAAGAGTGAGCATTTAGAGAGTGAGATTGATAAGCCAGTGGCTGAAATTGCTACAGATAAGGAGAACAGTAAGGAGTCCGAGGGCAAGACTGATGAGCCAGTGACTGAGAGTGCCATGGACAAGGAGAGCATAGAAGATAAGGGAAATGCCGAAGATAAACTAGTGACTGAAACTGCTACAGATAAGGATAAGAGTAAGGATTCAGAGGGCAAGACTGATGAGCCAGTGGATAAGGAGAGTGCAGAAGATAAGGGAAATGATAGTATAGTCACTGAGGCAACTGAATCGAAGGTGGATAATGAGAATCCAGCTGAAGATGAGACTGTGAAAGAAAAGGCTACAGGTGACGATGACGCAGAAAAACAAGACAAGAAGGATAATGGTAGTGAAAATGTTGATCCAAGTGCTGAAGGTGCCCCTTTGAATTCATTCCATCAGCTTTCAAGTAGCCAAAATGCTTTCACAGGGCTAGCTGGAACTGGGTTTTCCACTACTACATTCACCTTTGGTTCAGTTTCTAAGGATGGCTCTGTACCGGGCAGTGGTTCTGGCTCTCTGTTTGGGCAGAAAAATGAACAGCCTTCTTTTGGATTTGGTCTCTCTAACAATGGAAGTTCTTCACTGTCATCTATTGTCTCAAAGACCGAGGGAAGTGGTTTTCCATCTATGCAGGAGGTTCCAGTTGAGACAGGGGAAGAGAATGAGAGAGTGGTTTTCTCTGCTGATTCGGTTTTGTTTGAATATTTTGATGGTGGCTGGAAGGAGCGTGGAAAGGGAGAACTCAAGGTCAACGTATCTACCGCTGGGGCTGAAAAAGCCAGACTTCTAATGAGAGCTAGGGGTAATTTCAGGTTGATTCTGAATGCAAGTCTTTATCCTGATATGAAGCTTACAAATATGGACAAGCGAGGTATCACTTTTGCCTGCATGAATAGTATTGGTGAAGGTAAGGACAGCCTTTCCACTTTTGCGCTGAAGTTCAAAGACGGTTCCATTGTGGAAGAGTTTCGTGCAGCTGTCACCGCACATAAAGATAAAGCACCTGCGGCTCTGAAGACTCCAGAGAATTCACCGAAGGCTTCTGATGAGTGAAATGTGCATCAAATTGAACCACACAGAAATGTTGTACTGGAACCTTTCACTGTTCTTCATTGAAGAACAGTATTACTTTTGGGCTATCCTGAAGCCTTTTGTAGCAGAGTATGAAAAAGTGCATTCCGCTTTTGTTGTTCGGTCTAGTCTTCAGGAGAATGTTCTTTATTTTAGGTTATTACCGGCATCAACTGCTAAATTTACAGCTGAAAAGACATGGAATGTTGTCCAATTTTATAGTTGTATCTCTTATATACGTATGTCGAATTGCATTGTTGCATGTTGAATGTTTACTGGATATCCGGCCTGAATTCATCCTTTAGGTGTCTCAGAAGTTTGTGTTGATGTTGTTTCTGGTATTTGTGGAGGGGGCGTTCTGCACTTTACATGGCACAGTTGTAAATGCTTGATTTTGCGTTGATTGGTTCTCGCAGGATTTTCTGTACTGTCATCATCGTTACTACTACAGTGTGCAACAACAATTCAATATAGAATTTCAACTAGCATTTTAGGGCCTCTGGTTATGTGGGTGCTTATGATTGGCAGATACAAACACATGTACACAAGTGTCTAAATGCATCTGTCTTCTAGTGGTTTTGCGCTGAGCCCCATCAAATGATCGAAAGTTGTGTGACCAGAGAACTCCTCGGCCCACTCCTTGGCATCGTAAAAATAAAGGAAACTAGAGAACTCCTCGGCCCACTCCTTTGCATCGTAAAAAATAAATGAAACTAGAGAACTGCTCGGCCCACCCCTTTGCATCGTAAAAATAAAGGACTAACTAAAGCACTCCTCGGCCCACCCCTTTGCATCGTAATAAATAAAGGAAACTAGAAAAAAATGGCCGATTTATTTGGCAGAGCAGAGCCCAAATAGCGAATTTGGATATATATGGTGAGAGGTCAATTTTGATTAAAAGACTATCTTATTCTTTCAAACTAAAAGCATTAATTTACAAAATCATAAAAATATAAATTATAATGTACTCAAATTACAAAACCAAGCACTTGAACAAAATTACAAACTAATCCTAAAAGAGAGAATAGACGAATTTCCGCTGTCTATGGCACCAATAATTTATTTTGGAAAGGTGAGGACTGTGCACTTTCCAAGTTAAAGCCTTACTCGCGTAATTGAAACTAAACCGTTTCGAAATAATTTTATCTTCATTCAATTGTTAAGCTCAAAGCTTTGGCCGCTGTTGATGAAATTTCTCTCTCTAAGTTTTACTATTGGGTCAAGTTTGTCCAAATTATTTTGCACTAAGTATATATATATCACCATACATAGACCCAAAATTTGAATATTAATGTGAAGCATATTCTATCAGCTTAACAATTGAAACTTTTACTGATAATCAAATAAGAAACAAGTCATATGCTAGCGGTATATCTTGTCATGCCATTTCTACTGTTTTATTAGCAAAAAAGACTTTTGAAGATGTTGTTTAATGATCGATGTTCTATTTGTGTGTACTTTTTCAGCTGAAAATATGCTTTCAATTCAGAAAACATGAGTAGACAACAGCTAAATCAGTTACGCCAGTGTTTTTTGAATATATATATGTATTGAGAGAGAGAGAGAGGTGAGGATGTAGTGCTCATGAGCTATGTAATTATTGATTATCTTACCATAGATTGTCATTTAAAAAATAAAGTTTTATATTTTAATGTCGGTTATTTCATTTGTAAAAAAATAAAAAAATAAAATAAAAATTATGATGATTTAATTATGTGAAATTTAAACTTTTTTTTTTTTTTCATATTTTGCCCACTTATTTTGGAATTTAGAATCTCACAGATCTCAACACATTACTTGCAAGATATATAAATCATACTTCATATACTATCTTTTTTATTATTATTTGATCAATTGGAAAATTAACTAGCCACTACTGATGAGAAATCTTTTTTTTTTCCAAATCGTTGTATGGATTCAAATATGTCTATAGTATAATACTCTCGAGATCCATTTTAGTTCATCATTCTTTTTAAATTTGGATTCTCACATTATAGAACATACTTCATATACTATCTTAATCTATATTAGTGATTTTATAGTTAAGGGTTACTATTAGAAAACAATATAAATCATACCATGAGTCTCATATAAAAATTTAAGTTTTCAGATGACATGATATTTTAAAATGAAATCAAAGTCTTGATGATAAAATTATTGTGAGTTCGAATCTCACAATTCTATTTCTCTCATAATCAGTTAAATACAAGTTAGTATGAGTTTGTGTAAGTTTTAAGGTCAAAAAGGTTTCACTTAAAAAAAATATTAAAAAATAATATAAATTAATTTTTAAATTTTATTTAGTAGTTTAAACTTTTGAGTGAGATACTCATTTGACAGATATGATCTTTGTTGAATTTCAAAATGAATTGTCATCATCTTCTGCATGTTATTACTCATTTGAAACAATGTCGATCCATTTCTTTTAAAATATTAAAAAATAATATAAATTATTTTATAAAACTTCATTTAATAGTTTAAATTTTTTAATAAGATATTTATTTTACAATTACATATTTGTTGAATTTCAAAATAAATTGTCATTATATATTGTATGATATTACTAGTTTGAAACAATGTGGGTCTATTTCTTTCCATATCCATTTGTTTCTTGGACGTATTCTATGTAGATGTGTTTCATTTCAAGTCTTTTCAATTTCCTTTAAAAAGACACTTGATTTGTCAATATTTGGAACCCGTGATTATTTAACGAATGCAATCAAAGGGACAGAAATAACTCATCCTGTCAACAGAAAAAAAATCAATTCGTAGTACTATTCTATCATAACCTTTATTTAGCTTAATATAAACATGTATATCGGTGTACGAAACAACAAACATTAAGCTTAGATTTATTTTTTTGGATTTTCTCAAATTTAAAATTTCGGACTAATTTATTGTTATTCCAAGGGGAGAAAGAGTACATTTGAAAGAGACAGTAACCATGTGACTAACGGGAGAACTACTAAACAAACCCCAATTCAAGGTGAGTATTTTTTGGTGCATGTGCCTGAGCAAGAATTCACGCAGCTTGCTACTTCCTCTTCACCTGCCAATTAGGCAAAAACATCATACTATGAATTCCTTGCTATTATTGCATCACTTCCTTTAATGGATAATTTCAAAAATTCCATCTTAAGAAAAGAAGAGATAAAGATAATTACGAGGGTTATCTCTGGCGCTGATGTGGGAACAAGAAGAGTAAGCACAACTCATGTTGCAAGAGTGACGGTCTGGTGACGCAGTGTCAAAGATGCAATCTTTCAAACATTTAACACCGCATTTGAAAACAGAGTTATCGGGGAAGATGGCACACGAAACGAAGCACCCTTTGTAGCAATCTCCAAAAGAGGCTGTGGACTGCCCTGCAAGCAACCCCACCACCAAAAACATCACCAAGAGAGACGTAATCTTTCTCGCCTCCATGGTCTTTTCTTTTTGCACTGAGATTATTAAAACAAAACGAGACTGATTGGTGCAGCACTTTTTAGACCTCCACAGGGCTTTATACGGGACCTTGTCTGAGTAGTTGTCCTTTTGTACGCAACTATATATACTATAGTTATTCCAGCTATGGAAATTGAAATATATTTGGATGCAAAATGCATGCATGTATGTATGACTAGATTTACGTATACGTATGGAATTGAATTAACCGAAAATTATTACCCATGGTATAATTCACACGCATGTTTACCCTATATGTGTACCATTTGCTTCTCTACGCGCAGAAGGACACAAAAATAATACTCTTTTTGTTTAAAAAGATTTTTTTTTCTATTTTTATATATTTTAGTTTGATCAAATTTTTTAATATTATATTTTTTTAAAAAAAATACTCTTATTTTATGATATATGATTAAATTGGATAAATTTTCTGTTTAAACAAAAAAATATATTTTAGAAAAGTATATATTATTAAAAATATTCATAAAACATTATAATTAATAATTTTTTAAAATTGTGTGAAAAAATAAAAAAATAAGTATCATTATAAGACAAAAGTAGTGAGTAAATTACCTATTTTCTTCTCTCTCTCAATTTTTTGCCAGGATCTCTAGCATTTTAAAAGGCTAGGTCCTTGTTGTCATCAATAAATTGGCCACACAACTCGGGCATATCACATAATTTTATGAAAGTAATATAGTTTTCGGATGTTGTTAGGTAATTAATTTAGAATGAAAACTAAGGAACCGGAATCACAATCCAAATCCAATTGTCATCAATACATTAGCTTGTAGTTAGCCGCTCTGTTGGTCGATCGGTCAGTGATAGCGGCTTGTCCGGTGGTCGTTTCGAGGGGTATGCAAACGGTTCGATTAATCAAAAATTGAATCAAACTCGAACCGTATTAAGGTATTTGGTTCGATTTTGAATTTAAAATTTACTATTTATAACCGAACCGAAAAACCAAAATTTATTTCGATTCGGTTCGGTTTTTTTAAAAAATTCGATTCAAACCGAAAATCAAAATTTATTCCTTATTTGAGTTATTTTCTATTTCTTAATTCCGATTTCGGTGTTTTACTTTTTCTCTTCTCATTTCCAATTCCAAATAACCAAAATCGTCAAATCCCTAACCCTAACTCCCTAAGTCCCTCGCCGAGTCGCTGCTGCTCGTTGCTCCTCGTCGCCTCGTTGAGTCGCCGTAGCCTATATAGCCGTAAGTCCCTCACCGCCTCGCCGCCGTTGCCTCACTACCGATGTCGCCGCCGCCGTCTCCGGCCATCCGGGTGTTCTCTCTCGCCTCTCTCACTCTCGCATTTAGCGAGTACTAATGTACTATTATACTCGGTTGTTTGGAGTTGGAAAGACTAAAGAGTTCTCTCGTTGTAATGTTGTGGGTATATTCGAATTCTCTATAATATGTCCGTTGTAATGTTGTATTGTTGTGGGCATATTCCGATTATTCTCTATAATGTCTATGCTCGTAAACTTGTAATGTTGTAATGTTTGGAGTTGGAAGAACTTCTTCCGTTACC